TTTATACTATACTTTTAGGGGCTTCAGGGAAATATTAGAGGTCTAAACAGACCCCTGATATTTCCCTTTTAAAATAGAAAAAGAGATTGAGGACACAGAGTCGCTTTTTCTGCAGCCCCCGTTATAAATGAACAAAAATCCTCCGAGTGTTCCTGTTCATTCATAACATTGAGAACAGAGTATGTTTACTATAACCATAATTATGAATAAACAGGAGGTGATGTAGATCACTTCCCATTTATTCATAATTGAGGATATAGTAAACATACTATGTCCTCAATTATTTAGAAACACTCAGCGATCACTGATAATGTTTGTACCTCGCTCTCCTTCCTGACATGCTGTCACAGGAGGCTGAGCGAGCGGTACGGGAGGAGAGCTCAGCCTCCTGTGACAGCACTGGCTGTCTCTGCCCACACACCGCTCTGCGATTTGTGACAGGAGGCTGAGCGGTGTGGGAGGAGAGACGCCGGCCGCTCACAGCGCTCTACTCCCGCAGCGCTCGGCCGCCTGTGACAGTTTCACTCCTCCCCACTGGGACAGCGGGGAGGAGAGAATAGGATGCACCGCTGTATCGGCCAGAAAATTGCTCTTTCGGCATTATGCCAAAAATGCAATTTTTGGCCGATATGTTTCGGCGGCCGATATATCGGTGCATCCCTAGCCAAAAATTTAGCAAGGAGTTTGATATCAATGTTAATTAATTAGATAGGCGTACATCCTGACATCAGGATGACAGCAGAGAGGGGATGTCTTAATTTCTTCCAGCATGATGGGCAAGGGTGTCGGGGAATCAAAAAAACAAACAGAAACCCAAAGTGCAGGTTAAAAAATAAAAGCAGTTTATTGAAAATAACAAAATGGCAAAAACAATGGAGAAAGTTCAGGACGTTGTCAGTGCCAAGCCGGAGGTCAGATGACAAAGTGGGTAGTAAGCCGAACCAGGTCAGGGAACGTGGAGAGCAGGATGAATGGAAACAATAGCCAGGAACCAGGAGATCAGCCAGCCAGAACCAAGGTCATGCACAGAAAACAGGAATAACAACAACAGGCTGCAGCTCAACAGGACAAGAATGGGGAAGAAACCCTGACAAAGGGACAGTGTCACTGATGACCAGAAGATCAGAAGAGCACTTAATTTGGATATTACAGAAATATTGCCTTATCTACTACATACATTTTCTAATATTTAGGCTGCTTAGTGGCTGTCAATTAGACCTGAATTGTGCTTTAAAGCACTGCTTATTCTCAAATATGTTATATACATATATTTTAAACATATGCAAATTATTTTATGTATTGGTAAAACCCTCACCATTATTTGCATGATCCAAATCTTCTTTGCCAAAATACAGTCTCTGGCCGTGAACAGCTCCTGTATGGAATTGCAGCCTGAAAATGATATCGTGGTTTTCAGTGTAATATGATTTATGGTAACATTTGATCTGCAAAAAATGACAACATAGGACATAAGTGAATTGTAACCAGTTAAAATTTGGAAGAAATGCACATATCCACACACTCATACATAGATATATACAGTATGCATGTGTGTGTATATATATATATATATATATATATATATAATCTTTAATCTTTTTGATCGATTAATTTTTTTTTGATCGCTAATGAAAATACTCACCTCTCCGTCGGCTTCCGGGAGTCTCGTCGGAGATCCGGTGACGCCCCCTCCCCCAAGTGGCTCCGTCAGCTAACGAAGGGAAGGGGGGAGGAGTCCGGTGACGTCGATGTCCCTAAGTGGCTCCGTCGGCTAACGAAGGGAAGGGGCAGGAGTCCGGTGACTTCGATGTCCGTGATGTCACCGGACTCTTCCCCCTTCCCTTTGTTAGCCGACGGAGCCACTTTGGCCAGTGAGTTTGCCCAAGAAACTTTCTGCACGAGCGCCAGCCAAGGCATTGGCCTATACACATACAGCACAGCAATGCTGTAATAAAATGAACTAGGATCACACTAATCCAGCACGTTATTA